GACAAACTTGTGCATCGCGCAAGCCGCGCGCTCCGCGACGCTCCACAGACGTCGCAACGTCCATCAGATTGCGGTAAAAGAGTAGTACAATGTGTTCATGGCTGCCACAACAGAAAACAGTCGGCGAAGGGCGCGGAGCTGATGGCGTCGGCTACGGCGGCGAGGGCGCCGATGATGCTGTAGAGAAAGCCAAGCGAGTCATGGCGGGGCGTTGGCTCGCGTCAGCGTAGAGGGCGTACGCGGCGTCCAGAATCCAGTTCAAGATGGCGTGCCACCACTTGCACAGCCACGCCGACCGGCAAGCTCGTCCGTCGCAAGAAGTCCCCGCGCTCTCCCGGCTGATCGGGCGTCTACGTGTCGGCCGCCATCACGTGCGGGCGCGCCTCCCACCGGGAAGTCAAGCATCATCGAGTTGTTCACTTTGAGACGCGCGACAACGCGTCCGAACGACCGCACCGATGAGGGTTAAAGGCTGGGATGCCGCTTACACGGCGCCGGCTGCCACAACAAGGCCGGTCGCGACCACGCCAATGGTGACAATGACAAACTCGGCGGCGAGGACGGCGATCGAAGTCTCGGCTTCGGCTTGCTCCATCATGCCGACAATCTGAATGACAATGAGAGCGGCCACAAGGCCTGTGATCTCCATGCGGTGTGCGACTTCGTCGATGTACGGACGAAAGTGCAGGTGAGCCGCGAGCGACACGGCGACTGTCGCGGCTAGCACACCGCTGGTAAAGACCGATCCTCTCGGAATGGTCGCCACCGCCACCGCAATCGCCACTCTTCGCGTGAAAACCACACCCTCATACCACCAGGGCCTCGGCTCGGAAGGTGTGCCAAAGAAAGGCAACAGGCGAATGCTCGGCAACCATGACCATCGGCATCACTGTCGAGCAGCGGGACGAGGCGATCATCGCAGATCTCGCGCTCACTAGCTTGATGGGCGCGCCAGGCCACTGTGCTGGTGACGGCAACTGCAGAGGCAATACCAAGCAGAACACTCAAAGCCGACACCACGAGTGCGATGTGCTCGTCCGAGCCGCAAGCGATCCAGGGTGCCGCATCCAGGTACGAGCGATGGGCACCAGGCGTCGGATCGGGGACGCACGAGAGGTGCTCCAGCAAGTGGTGCAGGAGTGGAAAGACAAAAAGGTAGCCGAGGGTGCCTGCTGCACCTTCGGCTCGGCGCCGCATGCCCTGACTCTGGCATGGCGCGTATCGGAGGGCGAGGCAGAGGAGAACCGGGCCGGCAGTCAGAGCCACAAAGAGCCAGAGGAGGCCCAGTTGCCCCAGATCAAGGCAGCCCAGGCCGGTGAGGGTCAGGCTGGCACGCTGAAGCACGCCATAGATGGTGTGTAGCGACGACGATGATGACAAAAGACCATTCCCAGAGCTTAGCACCGCACCGACTGTCTGCACAAAGACCACAATGGTTTTGAGCACTGCAGAGATCCGGGTTGTCTGTGCAGGCCTGTCGACTACGGCGTACAGGCTTAGCGTGACAAGGCAAAGGCCGATGACCACGACCTCCCAGGCTTTTGCAAGACCAAAGACACCAAGAAGAACGACCACAACAAGTTCGATAATGGAAGACATAGCCAAGGTCTTGATCCTGCCGGTGTGGCTGCGGATCCGGTCCCATAGCGACATCGGCGCTTCCTGCAACGAGCCCGGGGCACGACTGGCGCGGTCGTTGCTGATGCTTTGCGGGGTGACTACATAGCCAACAAGTAAGATGATGCAAAGCACGCCGATGGTCGCGAGGACGGCGGCTGTTCCGGCAGCGCCGAGTTTGCACTGCGTGCACTTCCCGGCAACCAGGCCCGTTGCGTACCATCCGCTTGCACACTTGGCACAAAGCCGACCACTGTAGCCAGCAGCACAAGTTCCGGAGCCTGCACATGCGCCATCAATCGGGCACTTAAGAAAGTAGCTTGGATCCGAGGTGGGGAAGTAGCCGTCAGCCGCACTTGGCTTGGCCTCGCCACCGACACAGTCTCCGCCGATGGGGCAACGATCGCATCGCGCCACCGGAAGACTCGGCGTCCAGAATTGGGCGGTGCATCCACAGCCTGTTCGCTGCACGCCGGTCTCGGCGTCAATCAGCTGCATCGATATGGCATTGACGGGGCAGACGCAGACGAGTGCGCTGTCGCCGTGGGGCACCGGGGGTCGATTCCCAGGGCAGCCATCGATGAGCAGCGAGATGGCTTGTGTAGCCACGTTAGAGAAGCCCTCCACCGCAGCGTACGAGGCCAAGGCGCGGACAGTAACCCAGGATCCGATCTGATCCATCGAAGTGATAGCAATGCCCATGCTTGTCAGCTCGGTGACGTTCTGGCGGAGAATGATCTGCGGCGTTCCGCCGAAGATGGCGAAGCTCCCACCTTTGCCATCGTAGACCTGGAGCTCGATGACGACATCCGAATCAATGACCAGCGCACCGTTGGTGTCGCGAACAACAACAGCAAAGTTGTGCGGTAGAGCAAAGCCCGACGGGACGGCAGTGCCGTTGAGCTGATCCGCGCCAACGAGCCACTCGATGGTGGCAATCGGTGTGGCCACATCACCTCCCCAGCGCACGGGCAGGCACGCGCTGCGAAGATCAGCGCGACTCTTGTTTGTCCCGCGGACAAGAACCCCCAGATCAGTTTTGTGCTCTCCGAGTGCTTGCGAGGCGTATGCCACTGATCCTGCCTCTCCGAGCACGCTGTTGCCCCAGCCGCGGACGCGGCCAGTAACCTCAATCGAGCAGCCGACCAGAAAGAAGAGACCGCCATAGGCAGCGCCATTGTCAGTGACGGTGACGTTGTCCAGTACAACGTGTGCCGCGACGTATCGGACATAGGGGAGGCTGAGCAGAGCCGGGTGAGCGACCGCTCCGGAAGAGATCACCTGCGGGTTAAAGTCCTGCAGGACGGCGAGAACGCCACCAGCGGTGGCCGAGTTACGATCAAAGGTCGAGCTGCCGACAAGCATACTGGTCTTGTAGCCAATGCTGATGACGCCACCGCAGCCGCCGGCATTGTTTCCGGAAAACGTCGTGTCGTTTGCGATGACACTCACGCCCATGCCCTTACCAACAGTCGCCAGCACGGCGCCCCAGCTGGTGACAATGTTGATGTCGATGGCGCAGTTGTTGATGACAACAAGTGCATGTCGACCGACGGCCACGACGCCGCCGGCGACGGCAGCGTTGTTGTACAGTCTGCTTCGGATGATGCGGAGAGATGACGGCGCAACTTGCTTCGAAGTGATGTACGCAAAGCCGCCTGATGAACCGGCAACGCAATTGGAGATGTCCGAATTGATGACATCGACGGCCGCACCATCGGCAATAAAAAGAGCGCCGCCGTAGCCCGGTGCAAGGATGTCAAGGCCGTAGTCAGCGTCGACGGCCGGATTGGCAAAGCCGGACAATACAATGTTGGTAAGCACAAGCCGCGAGCCGCTTCCGACGACCCGCAGCGGTGGAGCACCGAAGATCGAGCGGTTACTGCTGTGGGCGTGAGTGAGGGTGAGCGAATCGAGAACAACCTTCTCACCTCCAGCGATGCTGAACAGAATGCCCTTGCCATGGCAGGAGATGCCGGCGTTGGCGACGCTCGAACCAACGATACTGGCCGACCGTGTGATCTTGATGGCATCCTGCATCCTGCATGTTTCCAGCATCGAGTCGACAGCCACGGTGTCAGACCTGCAGTTGGAGACGTGCGAGAGGGCGGTGGCGAGACAGGCGAGCGAGCCCGGCTGTGTGCAGGCGAAGTTGGCCGGTGGGAGCGGAACAATGCGCTCGGCAAATGGGTTGTCCAGCCACGGATTCGGCAGCTGTAGCGAGAGCAGCAAGCCGTTTGAAGCGAGACGAACGATGTCCAGAAAGCCGTTCCCGTCCAGATCAACGAGCGAGATCAAGGTCTCACCGTTGTCAGAAGCGGCGCTGATGGCAATCCGCTGCGGCGCCGGCGCCAGCATTCCCGGCTCGACAGCCTGCCATACCACCAGATGCGCTCCGCAGACGAGAACGACATCGTTGCCGGGCCCCTCCAAAGACCGACATGATAACAAGCCAGCGATCGATGGCCGCACGCGGTGTCCATGGCAAGGATGGGAGTAACTTGGGTTGGCGGGTTGGTTGTCGAGACCGAGGTACGAATGATGGCGAGCGAGAAGACCGTACTGGTGGCGCGCATGGGATGGTTATCGGCATTGATGATGCTGACGACGTCATCGCCTGTCGCACCAGGCCCGATAGGACCAGCAACGAGAGCACTAGGTCGACCAGGCAGCACAGTCAGCGTGGTACTGCTCCATTTGCACTCATGGCCGAGCTGGTCCAGCGTGACCCAGAAGAGAGGATAAGAGGATGACGCCAAGTGCGGGGCGATGACGATGCCCGAGTCAGAGGGTAGCGGCGAGTGACGAGGACGGAGCGGAGCAATGAGCTCAGATGTTGTGTTGAGTGCCGGCGGGAGGAAGCAGTGGGCAAAGACGGGCGAGCCGGCCTGGATCTGATAGACAAAAACAAGCGAGTTGACGTTGTTGGTCTCGTCCAAGGCCACGATGTACTCGATGGCGAGGGCGGATCGAATGGAGACGGGAACAACGTTGATGATGGTAAACGGCAGCGTTGCGAGGCTAACAAGTGGGTTCCACTGACCACCACCTGCGTTAGGCAGGTACCAGATGCCAGTGGAGGTAGGCGATGAGAGACAAGTAAGCATGAGGTCCTGGGAGCCGTCGCCATCTGCGTCTGCCAGCGAGATGTGGATGGCACCCGTGCCGAAATCAAGGACCTCGGAGAGGATGGGGCCCAGAATGGGCTGGAACTGGCTGGCTTGCACGCCGCTCTGGATGTTGTTGATCAAGGTGATGACTTGATGATGGGTGTCAATAATGACGATGTCGGGCTCGGTGTCTGAGTTGACAAGGCCAGCAATTGCGGCGGCGCGGGAGGCGTGCGAGTACGAGGTGATGGGAGGGAGGGAGTCAAATGCGGAGAGTCTGCGGGCAGCGGGGAGGCAGGCGGGGCAACGAGATACGAGGCACCGCTACTTGCCGAAGTAGCTGATTCGACCACGACGCGCGCAACAATGATAGAGCCAAAGGCACCTGGGTCGGTCGAGGGCGAGACAACAAGCGCAGCGCTGGTGGCCTCTCCCGCGTCGTCGAGTGGCGAGAGCTCGGTGAGGGCCGAAGGTGTCATGGTTGTTGGATCAAAGCGCATGGCAAAGAGCTCAAAGTTGAAGTTATCAACACCAGGCTGGATAGCG